CCCAACATGGGCAAACCCCGTCTCTATTAAAAATACAAAAAATCAGCTGGGGTGGTGGCAGGTGCCTGTAGTCCCAGCTACTTAGGAGGCTGGAGCAGGAGAATTGCTTGAACCTGGGAGGCGGAGGTTGTAGTGACCTGAGATCACAACACTACACTCCAACCTGGGCAGCAATAGCAAAACTCCGTCTCAAACAAACAAACGAACAAGAAAACAAACAACAACAAAAAAAAAACAGAGATATGCAATGTCTGTATAACAGAAGATTCAATAATGTTAAGGTGTTGATTCTCCACAAATTGATCTACAGAGTCAATATAATTCCAATAGTAATTCCAGGCCGAGTGCAGTGGCTCATACCTGTAATCCCAAAACTTTGGGAGGCCGAGGCAGGTGGATCACAAAGTCAAGACCATCCTGGCCAACGTGATGAAACCCCATCTCTACTAAAAATACAAGAATTAGCTGGGTGTGGTGGCACGTGCCTGTAGTCCCAGCTGTTAGGGAGGCTGAGGCAGGAGAATCGCTTGAACCCAGGAGGCAGAGGTTGCAGAGAGCTGAGATCACGCCACTGCACTCCAGCCTGGCAGCAGAGCAAGACTTCGTCTCAAAAAAAAAAAGCAACATAATTCCATTGGGCTTTTCTGTAGAATAAGATGACTCTAAAATTTATAATAAAATGCAAAGAATACAGAATATTCAAAGCAATCTTAAAATAAAATGACCAAAGCTGGAGGACTTACACATTACCTGACTTCAAAACTTACTACAAAGCTACAGTAATCAAAACAGGGTGATACTGGCAAAGGATAGACAAAAAGATCAATGAGACAGAAAAAGAAAGCCCAGAAATGAATTCACATCTATATGTCAGTTGATTTTCAAGAAGAGTGCCAAAGCAATCTCATGGGGGAAGATCTTTTCAACAAATGGTGCTAAAATAACTGGATATTATAAGGATAAAAATCAATCTCAACTCCCCACCTCATATCATACACACCTATTAATTCAATATGGATCACAGAACTAAATGTAAAAACTAAACCTAAAAAACTTCCAAAATGGAACATACGAGAAAATCCTTATGACTTGGGGATAAATAAAGGTTTCTGGCCAGGCACAGTAGCTAACACCTGGTAAGTCCAGTACTTTGGGAGGCTGCGGCGAGAGGATCGCTTGAGGACAGGAGTTCAAGACCAGCCTGGTCAATATAACAAGACCTTGACTCTAAAAAAAAATTAGAGTTTTTTTAAATTTTACTTTTATTTTTTTTGAGACTGAGTTTCACTCTTGTTGTCCAGGCTGAAGTGCGATGCTGTGATCTTGTCTCACCGCAACCTCCACCTCCCGGGCTCAAGCAATTCTCCTGCCTCAGCCTCCCGAGTAGCTGAGATTACAGGCATGCGCCACCACCACACCCAGCTAATTTTGTATTTTTAGTAGAGATGGGGTTTCTCCATGTTGGTCAGGTTGGTCTCGAATTCCCAACCTCAGATGATCCACCCGCCTCGGCCTCCCAAAGTGCTGGGATTACAGGTGTGAGCCACCATGCCTGGCCCCAAATTAGTTAATTTTTTAAAAAGAGGAAAGGTTTTTTTAGAAAGGTCACAGAATACAATAACCATTTAAAAAATGCCAAATTTTATTTCATCAAAATTTAAAATGTCTGCTTGCCTAAAGACTTTGTTAACAACATGAGCAGGAAAGCCAGATTGGGAGAGATTACTTACGAAACATACACATGACAAAGGTCTGATATGTAGGACAAACAAAGAACTCCTGCAACTCAATAACAAAGACAACTCAATTTCTTTAAATGCTCGAAAAATTTGAACAAACATTTCACAAAGGAAGATGCACAAATGGCCAAAAAGTACATAAAAATGTTCCACATCATTAGTCATCAGGGAAATGCAAACTAAAAATCACAGTGAGATATCACTAAATATCCACATCCACCAAAATAACTAAAACACTGACAACACAAATGTTAGCAAAAATGTAAAGTAACTGGAACTCTCATATATTAGTAATATTTTGAAAAAAGGTCTAGCAGTTTCTTATAAAACTAAACATATACCTATGTATATGATTCAGAAATTCCACCTCTAGATGTTTACCTGAGAACTGAAAACAAATGTTCACAAGACTGGTACAAAAATGTTCATAGAAGTTTATTCAAAATAGCCAAAAATTGAAAAGAACCCAGGTGTTTATCAACAGGAGAATGGATAAACAAACTAAGAAGATATAGTCAGAAGACAGTACAGTACCAACAATAAAAAGGAACAAATTATTGATGCATACAGCAACACAGAGGAACCTCAAAAACATTACGCTGGCAGGTGTGGTGACTCACACTTGTAGTCCCAGCACTTTGGGAGGCTAAGGTGGGAGGATCACTTGAACCCCAGAGTTCAAGACCAGCCTGGACAACAAAGTGAGACCCTGTCTCTACAAAAAAATTTAAAAATTAGCCAAGCGTGGTGGCATGCACCTATAGTCCCAGCTACTTGGGAGGCTGAGGCAGGAGGATCGATTGAGCCTGGGAGGTCAAGGCTGCAGTAAGCTATGATTGTCCCACTGCACACCACCTTGGGCAACAAAACAACACCCTGTCTCAAAAACAAAAACATTTTGCTAAATGAAAGATGCCTTGCTCAAACAAGTACATACTACGTTTCCATTTATGTGTTCCACTTGCATGAAATAGGCAAAACTATGATAGAAACAAAATCATGGCCGGGCGTGGTGGCTCACGCCTGTAATCCCAGCACTTTAAGAGGTGAAGGCAGGTGGATCACGAGGTCAAGAGATTGAGACCATCCTGGCTAACACGGTGAAAACCCGTCTTTACTAATAATACAAAAACAAAATTAGCCGGGCATGGTGGTGGGCGCCTGTAGTCCTAGCTACTTGGGAAGTTGCGGTGGGAGAATGGCATGAACCCGGGAGGCAGAGCTTACAGTGAGCCAGGATCGTGCCACTGCACTCCAGCCTGGGCGACAGAGCGAGACTTCGTCTCAAAAAAAAAAAAAAAAAGAAAGACATAAAATCACAACAGTGGTTGTTTAAGATGGAAGAACCAAGAGGCATGAAAACTTTCTGGGAGAGGTAATGCTCTCTGTTTTGATAAAGGTTTAAGTTATAAAAGTGTATGCATTTGTCAAAACTCATAAAATGGTAACCCTCAACTTGTGAATTTCATTGTATATAAATTTTACACCCTTCCCCAAAAAGTATAAATATTGAACTCTAGTTAATGTTATATAAGCAGAAATATTCAGAAGTATACTGATGTCTACAATATACTTTGCAGTGAGGCAAAAATTAAGACGGACTGGCCAGGCGCGGTGGCTAACACCTATAATCCCAGCACTTTGGGAGGCCAAAGCAGGTAGACCACGAGGTCAAGAGATCAAGACCACCCTGGCCAACACGGTGAAACCCTGTCTATTAAAAATACAAAAATTAGCTGGGCGTGGTGGTGCATGCCTGTAATCCCAGCTACTTGGGAGGCTGAGGCAGGAGAATTGCTTGAACCCAGGAGGTAGAGGTTGCATTGATGCATTGAGCCGAGACTGTGCCACTACACTCCAGCCTGGGCGACAGAACAAGACTCTGTCTCAAAAAAAAAAAAAAAAAAAAGAAATTAAGATGGATTAACGAACAGATACAAGAAGAATGGATAGATGGATATGTAGTTAAACAAATACCATAAATAATCACTATAGACTCTAAATGATATATATGTATATATTCACTGTATAATTATTATAAGTTTTCTGTACTTCTGAATACTTTCACAGTAAAATATTGGGAAAAAAAATTTTTTTTTTTTGAGATGGAGTCTCGCTCTGTCCCCAGGCTGGAGTGGCTTGATCTTGGCTCACTGCAAGCTCCGCCTCCCGGTTTCACGCCATTGTCCTGCCTCAGCCTCCCAAGTAGCTGGGACTACAGGTGCCCGCCACCACACTCGGCTAATTTTTTTATATTTTTAGTAGAGACGGGGTTTCACCATGTTAGCCAGGATGGTCTCGATCTCCTGACCTCGTGATCCACCCGTCTCGGCCTCCTAAAGTGCTGGAATTACAGGCGAGAACCACCGCGCCCGGCTGGGAAAAAATTTTTTTAATTATGAGTTACGGCCAAGCGTCTCTACTAAAACTACAAAAATTAGCCACGCATTTTTGCGTGACTCACACCTGTAGTCCCAGCTATTCAGGAGGCTGAGGCACAAGAATCGCTTGAACCCAGGAGGTGGAGGCTGCAGTGAGCTGAGATCATGCCATTGCACTCCAGCCTGGGCAACAGAGTAAGATTCAATCTCAAAAAAAAAAACAATAAATAAATAATGAGTTACCAAGTGGACAGTATACACCAGATTAGTAATAACATAGCTGATAGTACAACCATTAACTAAGTGACTACTATGTGTGAAACACTATGGTACATACTCATATATGTTATATCTAATCCCCAATGCAATCCTGCAAGGCAAGTAGTATTAACCCCATTTTCCTGATGAGGGAACCAATTCACAGAGAGACTAAGGAACTTATTAGAGCTTCATACAGCTATGCAATGAAACTGGCAGGACTCTAAACCCAGGTCTGACTCCAAAAGGGCTTCCATTATACCACACTGCCTTAACAATTAACTCCTAGGATTGGGCTTTTTTTTTTTTTTTTTTTTTTAAGCTACAGACTCTCACTGTTGCTCAGGCTGGCCTCAAATTCCTGGGCCAATGCAATCCTCCCACCTCAACCTCCCAAGTACCATTTTTTTCTTGGATTTCAATAGAAGTTTATGTTATTGACTTGTAGGCATAAGTGGGTTAATGGCAGGGACTTTGAAAATCCCTATCACTGTCATTCCATTGTGATAGTCTATAATAAGGCTGCTACTATTCTTGTCTCCTTTCAGCATTATAAGTGTTTTACAATATGAGAAAGGAATGCCACAATCATGACACAATTTTTTCAAACAAAATTCTTTACCTCATTTCTCGTTCTTCATGTTGAGCGATAAGGTTGCTATAAAAATTCTCCAGTGTCACTTTGGTCATTGTCACCCTTTCCTTTGTGTGGTTACTCATGGATGAGCAAGGTGTTGAGCCTGTCATTGCCATGGCTGCTAGAAACAAAGAAAAGAACAGGTATTAGATTTGGAGTTAGAATCCACCCATTGTGCACTCTCCTACCTTATTGGTAGGAATGTAATTTGGTGCAAGTTTTCTGGAAGACAAACAGGTAATATGAAACAAAAGCCAAAGAGAATACTTAGTGAAAATAAATATAAATTACTGCCGTATGACCCAGAAATCCCACCTCTAGGTATAAAGACTAGAGAAACCATCACATAGGCTTCTAAAAAGACATACACAGGATGTTCAGTACAGACAGGATGTTCACTATGCCTTAATTTGTGTTATGGGAAGTTGGAGGCACTTAAGTAAGAAAATAAAGAGCTGTGGCTGCATAGGAGATACCATGCAACAACCAGAAAACCAGAAGCAACTCTACCTGTACCTGTAAGTCACACAAATGTATCTTTTTTCTTTTTCTTTTTGAGATGGAGTTTTGCTCTTGTTGCCCAGGTTGGAGTGCAATGCAATGATCTTGGCTCACCACAACAAGTGATTCTCCTACCTCAGCTTCCCGAGTAGCTGGGATTATAGGCATGTGCCACCATGCCCAGCTAATTTTGTATTTTTAGTAGAGACGGGGTTTCTCCATGTTGGTCAGGTTGGTCTTGAACACGTGACCTCAGGTGATCCACCGGCCTCGGCCTCCCAAAGTGCCGGATTACAAGTGTGAGCCACCACGCCCGGCCCACACAAATATGCCTCCCTCCCTTCCTCCCTCCCTCTCTCTCTCTTTCTTTCTTTCTTTTCAAGACGGAGTCTCGCTCTTTCGCCCAGGCTGGAGTGCAGTGGCATGATCTCTGCTCACTGCAACCTACACCTCTCATGTTCACACCATTCTCCTGCCTCAGGATCCCCAAGTAGCTGGGACTACAGGTGCCCGCCACCACGTCCAGCTAATTTTTGTATTTTTAGTAGAGACAGGGTTTCACCATGTTAAGCCAGGATGGTCTCAATCTCCTGACCTCGTGATCTGCTCACCTCAGCCTCCCAGTGTGCTGGAATTACAGGCGTGAGCCACCGCGCCCGGCCCACAGATATATCTTTAAAACATATTAGTGCAAGTGCGTATTGCATTTTTAAAAAGAGAACAAGATCACAATACCATATAGGTAAATTAAGAATATATAGTAAACCACACGCCTGTAATCTCAGCTTCCTGGGAGGCCAAGACAGAGGACTGCTTGAATCCCCAAGTTTAAGACTAGCCTGGGCCAGGTGTGGTGGCTCACACCTGTAATCCCAGCACTTTGGGAGGCCAAGGCGGGCGGATCACGGGGTCAGGAGATGGAGACCACGGTGAAACCCCGTCTCTACTAAAAATACAAAAAATTAGCTCAGCGTGGTGGTGGGCGCCTGTAGTTCCAGCTACTCAGGAGGCTGAGGCAGGAGAATGGCCTGAACCTGGGAGGCGGAGCTTGCAGTGAGCTGAGATCGTGCCACTGCACTCCAGGCTGGGCGACAGAGCCAGACTCCGTCTCAAAAAAAAAAAAAGACTAGCCTGGACAACATAGTGAGACCTAAATACATATACATATAGTACACATACAGTACAATTCTTTGCCATCTAAAAATCTACCTTGAAGAAATCAAGGACCCATAAAAATTCATCACAAGGCGATTCAATGCAGCGTTGTAATCACAAAGGAAAATTAGTGATAACTTGAATATACACAACAGAATTAACTCAGTATGAAAAAGCCTTTCAATAAAATAATGTGTGGACAATTAAAATATGTCCAAATAGTTAACATCAGAGGAAATGTTTCCACTGTAAGTCAACAGAACAGATAACAAAGCAGAATGTATATCACGATCTCAATTTTCTTTATGTGTTTACTGTATGTGCACATAATTATTAGAAAATATAATCAAAATGTTATTAGTGGCATACCTGTAGGTAGTGAAAACAGAAAATTTTATTCTTGCTTGTGCTTTTCCCATGTTTTTCTTTTTTTTTTTTTGAGATGTGGAGTCTCACTCTGTCACCCAGGCTGGAGTACAGTGATGCAATCTCAGCTCACTGCAACCTCTGCCTTCCGGGTTCAAGCGATTCTCATGTCTCAGCCTCCCAAGTAGCTAAGATTACAGGCACCAGCCAACGTGCCCAGCTAATTTTTTTGTTTGTTTTGTTTTGTATTTTCAGTAGAGACGGGGTTTCACCACACTGGTCAGGCTGGTCTCAAACTCTTGACCTCAAGTGATCCGCCCAACTTGGCCTCCCAAAGTGCTGGGATTGCAGGCGTGAACCACTGCACCCAGTCCATGTTTTTCTGTATTTTCTTCCTTCAGCATATACTGTTACCAATAACTCTTTATCCACAGTTAAATGAAAAATATATTATTAAAATGGTAATCTACTGATACATACATGCTCTGACACAGCCTTAAGGTATTTGATAAATGTTTGCCGTTTATTTGAATTTACAAGTTAAAATAAAGATGTACGTCTTAAAGGGAACAATATGACAAAAAAAACCTGAATCACAATTCTAGTGGTAGAAGTAGCAATATCTTAAAAACGAGAGATCTTAACTTCCTCATTTTACACAAGAAAAAAACACCAGCAATGGGTTTAGATAAGTTATAGAATATTTTTTTCCTAAATTTAAAATCTCGTTTTCAACCAGTTGTGTGGCGCACGCCTGTAGTCCCAGCTACTCCAGAGGCTAAGGCAGAATTGCTTGAACTGGGAGGCAGAGGTTGCAGTGAGCCAAGATCACGCCACTGCCCTCCAGACTGGGCTACACAGCGAAACTCAGTCTCAAAAATAAATGATAAAATCAGCTGAGCACGGTGGCTCACGCCTGTAATCCCACCACTTTGGGAGGTCAAGGCAGGCGAATCACCTGAGGTCAGGAGTTGGAGACTAGCGTGACCAACACAGTGAAACACTGTCTCTATGAAAAATACAAAAATTAGCCGGGCATCGTGGCAGGTGCCTGTAATCCCAGCTACTCGGGAGGCTGAGGCAGGAGAATTGCTTGAACCCACGAGGCAGAGCAGTGAGCCGAGATCATGCCACTGCTCTCCACCTGTGCGACAGAGCGAGACTCTGTCTCAAAGAATAAATAAATAAATAAAATAAAATCTCATTTTCCTTCAGATATTTCAGTTAACCTGTATTATCACACTTGGCCAAACTGTTCACTAACATTGACTCACTGTAGCATTGGCAATAGCACTCAATTTTTTTTTTTTTTTTTTTGAGATAGAGTCCCGCTCTGCCACCCAGGCTGGAGTGCTGTGGCGTGATCTCGGCTCACTGCGAGCTCTGCCTCCCCGGTTCACACCATTCTCCTGCCTCAGCCTCCCAACTAGCTGGGACTACAGGCGCCCGCCACCATGCCCAGCTAATTTTTTCTATTTTTCAGTAAAGACGGGGTTTCACTGTGTTAGCCAGGATGGTCTTGACCTCCTGACCTTGTGATCCACCCACCTCAGCCTCCCAAAGTGCTGGGATTATAGGCATGAGCCACTGCACCCAGCCAATAGTGCTCAATATTTTATTTTTACCACTCCTACCTCCCACATGATCTACTTCTCTGTCTCTTCATCCTAATATAAAGCTGAGTAAAAATTAGGAGAGGCTGAACACTGTGGTTCATGTCTGTAATCCCATCACTTTGGGATGGTGAGGTAGGGAGATCATTTGAGTCCAGGAGTTCAAGAGCCCAGGAGTTCAAGACCAGCCTGGGCAACATAGCAAGACCCTGTCTCTACCACCCCCCACAACTGTGGCAAAAAAGAATCATGAGAGACAAAGGGCCATTTTTCTTTCTTTTTTTTTTTGAGATGGAGTCTCGCTCTGTCGCCCAGGCTGGAGTGCAGTGACACAATCTCGGTGCACTGCAACCTCCGCCTCCTGGGTTCAAGTGATTCTCCTGCCTCAGCCTCCCAAGTAGCTGGGACTACTAGGACATGCCATCACCCCCAGCTAATTTTTAGTAGAGACGGGGTTTCCATATGTTGGCCAGGCTGGTCTTGAACTCCTGACTTCAGATGATCCACCTGCCTGGGCCTCCCAAAGTGCTGGGATTACGGGCATGAGCCACCGCACCCAGCCAAGGACCATTTTCAAAGATAGTGCATTTTAAGAAAAGCTTTAAGGTTTTCCCCTTAATACTTAGTAGCTTTTTAAATTGTTTTGTGGATTAAACTAAGGCTTATAAAACACTTGTTCAAAAAAGCCTTAAAATTATTTAAAAAGCAATTATTTAAAAAGATACTCAGACAAAAATCACATAAATAATCCCTTCAGAGCAGAGATTCAAAACCAAGGCTCTACTTGAGAGTCAAACATTTTGATTCATCATGTGCCAAAAAGATCAGTAAAAACAAATTTAAGACACTGTATTCAGAGCTACCTTACTGTAAAATATCACATTATTTTCTATGGGGAAGTTTCAACTAATACCAAAGCAAACTCAAATGTTTTACAGTATCACTAAAGGATTTAAAAAAAAAAAAAAAAAAAAAAAAAAAACCTCTGTTTGGTTTGTGAAGCTTGGGTGTGGTTCCTTATTTGTCAGCCTGTACCCCCTCCACCCACAATGAAAACCACATGCACTCTAAGTGTGTTTGGTGAAGAAATTTAAAAACCAGATCTAAAAACATGTCAAAAGCAAGTGAGAGTTTTGTATTTCCTTGTCTGAAAATTCCTGAAGAAATTACATATATGTAGTTACATTTTAACAACTGAAATTACTTCAACATAAAAACGTAACAGTTTGCCAGGGCACTGGTGCATGCCTGTAATCCCAGCACTTTGGGAGGGAGATGTAGGAGACTGCTTGAAACCAGTCTGTGCAACATGGCAAAACCCATCTCTACAAAAAAAATACAAAAAATTGGCCAGGTGTGGTAGCGCACACCCGTAGTCCCAGCTACTCAGGAGGCTGAGGTGGGAGGATTGCTTGAGCTGGAGAGGCAGAGGTTTCAGTGAGTTCGGTTTGTGCCACTGCACTCCAGCCTGGGACAGAGCAAGAACCTGTCTTAAAAACAGCAACAACAACAACAACGAACAAAACACAACAATCTGCTAATATCTAACCCTAAGGCACACAGTGCCATCCATATTACAGGCAGTTAATAAATGTAAGTTGAACAAGTTAATGATTTTTAGTTGTCAACAAAGCTAAAGATGGCTGGACACAGAGGCTCATGCCTGTAATCCCAGCACTTTGGGAGGCCGAGGCAGGTGGATCACCTGAAGTCAGCAGTTGGAGACCAGCTTGGTCAACATGGTGAAAGCCCGTCTCTACTAACGATACAAAAAAAAAAAAAAAAAAAAGCCGGGCATGGTGGCGGGCACCTGTAATCCCAGCTACTTAGGAGGCTGACACAGGAGAATCGCTTGAACCCTGGAGGCAGAGGTTGCAGTGAGCCAAGATCACACCACTGCACTCTAGTCTGGGTGGCAGAGTGACAATCCTTTTCAAAAAAAAAAAGAATAAAGACTACATTTACACTGATGGGTATATCAAAAATGTTTTGACTAATTTAAGTAGCTGGCATTACTACCTAAACTTTTAAAAAGATCAAAAGGACAATAAATGAACTCAAAGATGCTCAAATATTAGACCAACAAATTCTTAAGCAGAGTGTTTTCCAACTTTTAGAGTTTCTAATAAAATGATAAAGATTGCACTCTCCTTCCCTTTGACCTTTTAAACCCTCCTCCACTTCCTCTATTGTAATATTAAAAATTTAGCCTAATTCTAATATCCTTTAATCAAAAGATGTAATTAATATTGCTCTATAGCAATTCATAGGTTTACGGGTCGGCCAACTTTTCTTAAGACAGGACTATCCCTCAGGCTTTCCATAATTCAAGCCTTCCTACCCTGACCTAGAAGCCATTGGAGGCCTTTGCCCTGTTTGTTTCATTCTTCAGCTCTGCAGAATTAGGAAATAACAGGTGGCTGAGAAATTCTTCAAAGTTTTAGAAATTAACAAAAGGAACGGATCCTCATAAAAGTCAGGCTAAGGCCTGCAAACTCAAAAGGAAGTCAAATGAAAAACATTATGCGATTCAATCTATATGATTATGCCTGGCTAACTGATTGACTTTACAATGGTACTCTATGATCACTATAAATAACCCTCTCGCAACAATCTGGACTTTATTTCTTTGCGGCTGACAACCCATTATCTTTCATTTGGACGATTCAACATTGAAGCTAAGATTACTGCTTAAGCCGCATGTCTAATTTCTCCCACTGAACTGTAAATCCTACTGAACAGTAATCCCTACCTACACTAGAAAGCAAGCACCACGTCTTATACTTGTTTTAATGTTCGTCCCCCATTTCATGCACAGTGCTATGCACTTAGCACCTTAAGAAAGATTAACTAGGAAAAATACCCATTTTTGATGGCCATTCCGAGCGTGAGGTGTTTATGTGTGATGTTTATGTGTGATGGGGGACAGGGCTGGGACATGAAATGGTTTGCTATAGCGTTCTCTCCTCTTACGAGGAAGCTGGTATCCAACGTTTAGGGTGGGGAGGAGAGTCTGTTATCGTAGTGGTGGTTGTTTTATGTTTAGGGAAACCAAATATACTGCCTGGCTAATTCAGAGGCAGGGTGAGTTGAAAGGGTGGAGACACTCAGGGTCTACTTCACTCCAACCCTCCTCGGTGCATTTCAAAAAGAACAAGTTTCTCTCCGTGTCTTTTAGTCGTTTCAGAGTGAACTGAGAGATCTGGTCTCTCTGCCGGCCGTGCTGCCCGCTTTCTGACACAGACTTTCCTCTCAGCCCTTATCGACTTTTTCCTTTCCTCTGGCTGTTGCTTTTCCACTCTCTTCTTAAGAAACTTCCCTGCCTTTTCCTGTGATTTTAAGCTTATCTGAAGCCCAGCATCTTAAGACTAACGGAAAAAGGAGCCGACTCAAAGATACCACACCCCAAGGGGGCTTTCGACATCTCTGCCTCAGACTACAGTTCACAGACCCCAGAAGGAAAAGGAGATGAAAACTGGTGATGACCGAGATCCCTGAGGGACTGACTGGTGGCAGGGAGCAGACAAAGGTGGCAACATGGAAAGGAGAGCCTGGCTCCCGCTCCAACTGCAGAAGGAGAAAGAGAAAGGACGGGGTGGAGAGGCTGGGACTGGGAAAATGTGGAGGGCCAACAAGGGGCATCTGGAGACGGGGGAAGAAGAGGGCTGAGGACAGGGGAGGAGAGGGGACGAGAGGCTGAGAGGTTAGGGCTTGAAAGAGGGCGTCGGCGAGAAGGAGAAAGCCCGAGGAGTCGGCGGTTGGGGAAGGAGGAGATAAAGGAAGAACCCTGGGATGGAGTGAAGACGTCGGCAGCAAGCAACTCACCAGAGCCCCGGGAGAAGCAGGGCTGGGGGCGGCGGAGAGCCGCAGACGCCCCTTCTGCCAGTAGTCTCGACGTGAAGGCTGGCGAAGCCCCGGCGGCGGCAGCCAACGAGCCAAAGACGGGAGGGGACGCGTGAGGGTCTCTGAGACAGGGGGCAACGGGCTGTTGCGGGTGAGGACAACAGGAAGCGTTCCAGCTGCCGGAAAAGACGGGAGCGCTAAGGGGCCAAGGCAGCCCGGTCCCCCGCCGCGGAGACGGGCTGGAGCGGCAACCCGGGGCCGAGACTACGCATGCGCGACTTCCCGGTGCGGCCGAGATTGAGGGACTGCGCGTGCGTGGCCCCGCCTTGCCCCTCCCTTCACCCCCTGCCTGGAGCTGGCGGGACCTGGGTGAGGCCAGATGTGTGAGTGTGGGGCGGTCGCGAAGTAGGCTGGGCTGAGGGGGAAGTTCCCTTGTTTTCTTTTATTTTACTTTTTACTTCGAAATAATTATGGACTCACAAGAAGTTGCAAAATTAATATATACAGGTTCCGTATACCGTCACCCACTCAGCTTACCTCAACATTTTTCATAAGATACAACATTCTGAAAGCCAGGAAATTGACATTGTCACAATACAGTTAACTAAACCAATACAATTAACTTCATTACAGACCATACTCGGATTTAAGCTGTTTGGCATGCAGTCATGTGCGTGTGTATGTGTGTGTAGTTATATGAAATGTTATCACCTGTATAGTTGCCACCTACTCCCCTACCCCGTGTAGAGCAGGTCTGCTGGAGCCTTTGGCCCCCCTCCTCTTCCTCAAAGTAAGGACCTTACCTGGGATAAGGTGAGCTCTCATAGGTTTGGGAGGTTGCCCAGAGGGCGACCCAGTGTGGACAGAAGAATGTGCTTTTCAAGGCCACCCAACTCTTATTCTGTACTACTTTAGGGGGTAAAGAGGTCCCAAGTTTCATGGCCTTTGGGCACTCCTCGTTTCTTGAGAATGGAGCACAACGCCCTCAACTACAAAGTGTCAGGCTCCTGGAAACTAAGAGGAATGAGACATGGTCCCTCACTGCCTGCAAAGGGGCCATCTAGGGAGAGAAGGAAGCATGTGCTGCGAGTCATTAATTCATTTCATCTTCAAAGCCCAGTTTCCTTTTGTCTAGCCTCTTACAAAAATCACTTCTGGCCAGGCACCGTGGGTCGTGCCTGTAATTCCAGCACTTTGGGAGGTCCAGGTGGGAGGATCGCTTGAGCCCAGGAGTTTGAGACCAATCTGGGCAACATAAGGAGACTCCACCTCTAAAAAAATGTTTTTAGTTGGCCAGCATGGTGGCATGCGCCTGTGGTCCCACCTACTGGGGAGGATGAAGCAGGAGGACTGATTGAGCCCAGGAGTTCAGGGCTGCTATGAGCCATGATCATGACACTGCACCCCGGCCTGCGCAACAGAAAGAGATCCTGTCTCAGTCAATCACTACATACATAACAATCAATCACTTCGCCTTTCATTCTCTCTGCCCAGAGGTCCTTCTCCCCAAATGCCTGTTGTCGAAGTCCTACCCATGCTTAAGCTTTTAATAATAGTCCAAGATGTTTGCATAATGCTTTACAATTTACAAACAACTTTCACTTATTTCATCTCACTAGGTCCTCACTTTGGCAGTGACACAGGAGGTTTTGCAGATAAAGTAATTGACACTCAGAGAAGCTAAGTGACTTGCCTGAATTGCCACGGCTAGTAAGCCAAGTAACCAAGAGGGGAACCCCATTTCCTGTCTGCAAATCCAATGTTCTTTCTCCTTTTCCCTTTCCTTCCTCCAAAGCCCAGCTCAAACCTTCTCTTCCTCCTGGAGCTTTCCCAGTTTCAGAAGAGGAATTTCACTTTCTCTTCTCTCCTCCTATATATATGGGTTTTTGTTGTTGTTTGTTTTGTGACAGAGTCTTGCTCTGTCACCAGGCTGGAGTGCAGTGGTGCGATCTCAGTTCACTGCAACCTCCACCTCCTGGGCTGGGCTCAAGCGATTCTCCTGCCTCAGCCTCCTGAGTAGCTGGGACTACAGGCACACACCACCATGCTCAACTAATTTTCTTTTCTTTTCTTTTCTTTTTTTTGTATTTTTAGTAGAGATGGGGTTTCACCACGTTGCCCAGGATGCTCTCAATCTCTTGACCCCGTCATCTGCCCGCCTCTGCCTCCCAAAGTGCTGGGATTACAGGTGTGAGCCACCATACCCGGCCTTCTCCTCCTATATAATTTATCTGTACCACAACTCAAATAAGCACTAAAGTTTTCCTTAAAACAGCCCAGCCAAATTATGCTGCTCTTTCTGCAGGAACCCAAAAGGTGACATTTTACCAAGATTCCAGTAACTATAATGGACATTTGTCATTCTTTTTGGCCACTCAAGCATCTGAATCCCTTTCCTGTCACCACCACCACAACTGAAATCACTTATACCCATCCCAGACTCTGAGTTAGAAATTAGAATGATCCGACCTGCATAATTCTGATGTTGTCACATCCCAGTGTTTGTTTGTTTGTTTGTTTTTTGAGACAGGGTCTCACTCTGTCACCCAGACTGGAGAGCAGTGGCACAATCGTAGCTCACTGCAGCCTCGAACTCCTGGGCTCAAGCAATCCTCCCATCTCAACCTCGTGAGTAGCTGGGACCAAAGGTGCGCATGACCTTGCTCGGCTAGTTTTTTAATTTTTTGTAGAGACAGATCTCACTATGTTGCCCAGTCTGGTCTCAAACTCCTGTTGTAAGGTGATCCTCCTACCTCAGCCTCCCAATGTGCTAGGATTACAGGCATGAACCACCTTACACAGTGAGTCGAGCTTTATTTTAAATTTTGATGTTTTGTTCATCATGGATTTTTTGCATTCATTTTGATTTTTGAAAAACATTGCATTAATATAGTCTTTATCTTGATTACTGAGTTTTTTGTGCCCAAGGTGGGTGTCTTGCTCACCTGCTCAACTCACCCGTTCTTTGTCCCAAGAATCACCTGCCTCTCCTTTATCAAGCTGACCTATGATTGCTTCACCAGCCAAAACTGAGCTGCTTGGAAAGAACCACAACTCTTTTTAAAAACAGGCATCTTACCCCCTAGCAGTGTGTGCCCCACCCATTGGGGCAGTGGCATCAATTGCCTCTGAATATTCCTTTCATAAGAGGACAGGAACTATGCTTGGGTGCTTGCTAGCCCAGTGCTTCTCAAACTGTAACATGCACATAAATCTCCTGGGATTTGGTTAAAGTGCAGATCTGGCTAAAGTCTGGAGCAGAGCTGAGATACTGCATTTCAAACAAGCCCCCAGGTGATGCTGTCACTGCTGGTCCATGTACCACACTTAGAGTAGCAAGGAACTTGAACATATATCCAAGTAAAAAGTAAGAAGGAGAAAGTGCCCATATTCCAGCAGCCGTAGGTCCCAACCAAGGCCAAGACCAGGGTGAAGCATGTGAGGGCATAACATTTAAGAAGACACTCACTTTCAGGTGCTACTCCTGCATTTGCAGAACCCTGAGAGTGAGGGCAGCCCTACCTGAGTGTCCTAGGAACCTTGCTTGCCTTAGCCTAGTCCCATCCTGGTAACATAACCACCAAGTAACATTTTGGTGGGTATTCCTCCAGACTATCTTTTTTTTTTTTCTGAGACAGGGTCTCACTCTGTCACCTAGGCTGGAGTGCAATGGCGTGATAATAGCTCACTGTAGCCTTGACCTCCTGAGCTCAAGCAATCCACCTGCCTCAGCTTCCCAAAGTGCTGGGATTACAGGTGTGAGCCACTGCACCTGGCCTTCTCCTCCTATATAATTTATCTGTACCACAACTCAAATAAGCACTAAAGTTTTCCTTAAAACAGCCCAGCCAAATTATGCTGCTCTTTCTGCAGGAACCCAAAAGGTGACATTTTACCAAGATTCCAGTAACTATAATGGACATTTGTCATTCTTTTTGGCCACTCAAGCATCTGAATCCCTTTCCTGTCACCACCACCACAACTGAAATCACTTATACCCATCCCAGACTCTGAGTTAGAAATTAGAATGATCCGACCTGCATAATTCTGATGTTGTCACATCCCAGTGTTTGTTTGTTTGTTTGTTTTTTGAGACAGGGTCTCACTCTGTCACCCAGACTGGAGAGCAGTGGCACAATCGTAGCTCACTGCAGCCTCGAACTCCTGGGCTCAAGCAATCCTCCCATCTCAACCTCGTGAGTAGCTGGGACCAAAGGTGCGCATGACCTTGCTCGGCTAGTTTTTTAATTTTTTGTAGAGACAGATCTCACTATGTTGCCCAGTCTGGTCTCAAACTCCTGTTGTAAGGTGATCCTCCTACCTCAGCCTCCCAATGTGCTAGGATTACAGGCATGAACCACCTTACACAGTGAGTCGAGCTTTATTTTAAATTTTGATGTTTTGTTCATCATGGATTTTTTGCATTCATTTTGATTTTTGAAAAACATTGCATTAATATAGTCTTTATCTTGATTACTGAGTTTTTTGTGCCCAAGGTGGGTGTCTTGCTCACCTGCTCAACTCACCCGTTCTTTGTCCCAAGAATCACCTGCCTCTCCTTTATCAAGCTGACCTATGATTGCTTCACCAGCCAAAACTGAGCTGCTTGGAAAGAACCACAACTCTTTTTAAAAACAGGCATCTTACCCCCTAGCAGTGTGTGCCCCACCCATTGGGGCAGTGGCATCAATTGCCTCTGAATATTCCTTTCATAAGAGGACAGGAACTATGCTTGGGTGCTTGCTAGCCCAGTGCTTCTCAAACTGTAACATGCACATAAATCTCCTGGGATTTGGTTAAAGTGCAGATCTGGCTAAAGTCTGGAGCAGAGCTGAGATACTGCATTTCAAACAAGCCCCCAGGTGATGCTGTCACTGCTGGTCCATGTACCACACTTAGAGTAGCAAGGAACTTGAACATATATCCAAGTAAAAAGTAAGAAGGAGAAAGTGCCCATATTCCAGCAGCCGTAGGTCCCAACCAAGGCCAAGACCAGGGTGAAGCATGTGAGGGCATAACATTTAAGAAGACACTCACTTTCAGGTGCTACTCCTGCATTTGCAGAACCCTGAGAGTGAGGGCAGCCCTACCTGAGTGTCCTAGGAACCTTGCTTGCCTTAGCCTAGTCCCATCCTGGTAACATAACCACCAAGTAACATTTTGGTGGGTATTCCTCCAGACTATCTTTTTTTTTTTTCTGAGACAGGGTCTCACTCTGTCACCTAGGCTGGAGTGCAATGGCGTGATAATAGCTCACTGTAGCCTTGACCTCCTGAGGTCAAGCAATCCACCTGCCTCAGCTT